TGTTGCGTGGAGTTTGAAGAAGCAACGCTCAGTATCTAGAAGCACTATGGAAGCGGATTACAAAAGTGTGGCTGATGCTACAGCTGAAGTCACATGGATCAGCACACTGTTAACCGATTTAGGTATTCAGCAGCAAGGAAAGTCTGTGATTTGGTGTGACAACACCAGTGTAGTGGCTATGAGTGCTAATCCGATATCATGCACAATCCAAGCATGTATAATTGGATGTGCATTTTGTGAGGGAAAAAGTGGCTGCTGGACATATCTGTGTTAATTATGTACCAGTTGCCCATCAAGTGGCTGATGGATTCACCAAACCGTTGTCAAAAGAAACATTTGAAGAATTTCGTGAGAAGGTGTGCGTTGTGCAGCGATGAAGGAAGGAAGGTGAAGATGTAGGGGGAATATTAGAGGTATATACATGTACGTATGAGTATATATGTATGTGTGCAAGCTGTGTCAGTAATAATTTGCTGAGTCAGCAACTGTTAGGAGTTTGTTAGCAGTTAGTTAGGCTGTTAGTGAGGAAGTAACTGCATCCAATTCATGTATAAAGAACCTGCATAACGAACAGTTCATTGTATTCCTTGTGAGATGAATATACTTGTATTCTTTTGAAAAGCAGTAACTCAATACACCCTATTCAAATGTCTAGCTTCACTTTCAGAATTCTTTATGAAAGTGAGGCAATTATTGGCATAAAGAAGGTGGTTGATTCAAGGTTCTCTCAAGCTGGCATGAACCCCTTTAATGTTGCCTTTATTCTGTTCCGAAAGAAGGACAGCCGAAAGACCTTGAGAGCAGAACAGGAAAAGGTATGAGGAGAGATGGTCACCTTGTCTCAGTCCCCGCTCCGTTTGAAAAAAACTGAAACTTGGCCATTTATGCACAAACAATATGTGACAGTGGAAATGCATTTCATGATCTGGTTAATAAAACGAGGGTCAAAGCCAAGATGGTTCATAACATCATAAATAAAACTCAACACAACCTGTCGTAGGCTTTGTCCGTATCAAGTTTGATAGTTACACCTTTATTAGGGTCATTTTTGGAACCCCTTAAATAATGGAAAAGCTCGTGAGCAACAATAAAATTATCCTAAATCAAGCGACCAGGAACAAAGTCACATTGGTTTTCTAAAATACAAGAGTGCATTAGAGATTTAAGACGGTTAGCAATAGATTTTTTACACAATCTTGTAGATAACTGTGCATAAACTGATCGACCTAAAGTTTTTCATTAAAGTAGGAGGGGGATAGGTACAATAACGGTTCGGTTAACATCCTCAAAATTTGTCGTTCCATTCAACAGAGACTCTCTTTAGTGAACTCAGCACAGAGCTTCTAATTTTCTTCAGGGGTTTTGCACTTGTCGATGGCGTGTAAGATCGAATCCGAATTCCCGTTTTTTTGGAAGATGTGAAGAGCCCAGTAAAAAAGTCCGTGGCCACGTCGCAAACATCCTCAAAGTCTTCGTTCCACTCACCGACAGTGTTGTAGATACCTTTAACCCTTTTTTTTTGTCTCCCGTTCGCCTTAGATATTTGAATTAATAAATCGATTAATTCTATAAACATATTTAAATATAAAATTAAATACATAAATATAAAATAATTTAATCTAACTACTTGATTAAAAAATTAAGAAACCAAAATTTTGGATATCTGACTTGAGCTCAGACTGAACCCTTGAACTCGTGTAATTCAACGGACCAGATTTACGACCTACAATTTTCAATATTCTTTTTTAAAGATAACTGATTTTTTCCCCTATCAAATCAATATTAGATCAAGTGATCGACTAACTAACAAACTAAATGTTACATATAGAATATTTTTTAACATTTTAATTATAGGTTATAAATGCTAAATGTTTTTGTAATTTTTTATTTCGAATATAATTTTTTTATTAATAGATAGATTATAATAATATTTATTTTAAATATTTCAATTATTTGACAATGAACGTTCAAACACTACTACAGACGTAGTACTCGAATCTGAGACTTTTAAAAATAAAATAATCTCTTTAACAACTGAGATCACTTGGTTCGTACATTACAGAATAGAATTTTTTTCGATTAATCTAATGATTATAAATGATAATTTCTAAATCATTTGAGAATAAATACTAAACTAAAAGGGGAGCAAATTGATAATAATAATAATAAATTAAAAAAACTGCGGGCGTGAGATAGCTCCTTTAAGTGTAGCCTAACTTAGGTGTAACGTCAAGATCATCCTCATATATGGATGCAGTCTAGATTAATTCAAACTCTTTGATTGCAAGCGCACGCCAAATGTTGTAAAAGGCGTGCCCTCAACCTGGAACACTCCGCCTACATGCACTCCACTATCCTATTCCTCACCACGTACCCCGCCCCTTTTGCCTCAAATAAATAACTACTATATTCCTACATTCTTTTCAATTTCCATATAAACCACGCGTCACTCTCTTCTCCTTCCCATTACCCGCAACTTTTCATGTTAATAGCTCTGTGGTTTTAAATACTTGTTGTTATGGCCGACATATGCTGCGGAGTGATGAGCGAAGGCGAAGAACCAGCACCGTGCCAACCGACTTCTCGTCAAGCTAGGAGTCGTAGAATCACATTTAGACGGTTTAAATTCGTTGGTTTCACTTCATCCGAGGCCGAGAATCGCCGGAAACGCCGCAATCTCCAAGCAAACGAAGCCGCGTGTGCTCTAGACCGTTAAAACGTTGGAGATAATAATTCTTCCATCTCCGATGTGGACAAGAAAAATGGAAGATCAAAAACCAAAGGAACGGTAGTTAAAAGTCATACAATTCCATCGCCTTTAATGCCTGCAATCACAATTGATTCAGAGTCATATCCGAAATTTGGCGTTGCTTCGGCCTGCGGACGTCGAAGAGACATGGAAGACGCCGTATTTATTCATCCGTCGTTTCACTGCAAAGGCCAGGACTCTACCGCCATTGGCTTCCGCCTTCCACTATTTTGGCGTCTACGATGGCCACGGTTGCTCTCACGTACGGGTCTCAAAATTTTCAAATTTGTAAATAAATATAAGCTTTATTTTCTTTTACTTGAAGATACTGAAATTCTTTTATTTTTCCGTTCCGGTTACTGCTTATTAGGTGGCGATGCGGTGCAGAGAGCGTTTGCATGAACTAATGAAGAAGAGTTAGAGAGTGAAGACGAAGAGTGGAAAGGAGCGATGGAGCGTAGCTTCACGCGCATGGATAGGGAAGTGATCAAATTGAATAAGAATACGGATGGAGCTAACTGCCGATGTGAGTTACAGTCACCGGAGTGTGATGCTGTTGGATCTACCGCGGTTGTTACCGTGGTAACGCCTGATAAGATCGTTGTTTCTAACTGCGGCGATTCCAGAGCTGTTTGTGTCGTAACGGCGTACCCGTTCTTTTAACGTCCGATCACAAGGTTAGCATTTGTAGTTAACTTAGCTTTCACTCTCTCCTTTGTTTTTTAGAAGCGGAAGATTTGGTTATCGGCCGGTTTCTGTTTGGCTCCCGAGAAAATGCCGCTAACCTAAAAGAAATTGTTCGTTCCTTATGATATATAAAACAATGTGTAAGTATAGTGCTTTGTGTACGAAATGTTAACAGCCTGATCGTCCGGATGAGCTGAACCGGATACAAGAAGCCGGGGGTCGGGTCATTTGCTGGGACGGTCCTCGTGTCCTTGGAGTCCTCGCAATGTCCAGAGCCATAGGTAAATAATCCTTCCTCTCTGTTGACCTAAACTTTTTAGATTAAATTAATTATTTAATCATGCACCTATTAGTTAATTTTATTTTGGTCACTTAATAATTATTTTTTTAATCATACTAATATTACGTTTTAGTTATATTTGATAGTCTGATATTAGAAATGATAATATTAATATTATTATAAATAATTTCACATCAATTTAAAAATAAAGAATATTAAAATAATTTAAAAAATATCACGTTAACAATACTACATCAATATTGAAAATTAACTTAAAAAATAATACAATAAATTAAAAAAATACCATGTCAACATTAATGTTAATTTGACTAAAATAGTTAAAATTTATCATTACAAATGATTTTAAAAAATAATAATTAAATAATCAAAACATAATTAAACAATATTTTAATATATTGTTTAGTTTTTAATATTGAAGGATTAAAATAGAATTAAAATATGATTTTGAAAAAAAATATAATTGAATAAAAATATAAATTAAGTAATAAGTGAATCACAAAATAGGTAATGTAGCCAACTTCTTAAACAAAATTGTGTGGCACAGGGGATAACTACTTGAAACCTTATGTGAGCTGTGAGCCGGAGGTTACGAAGGGATCGGACGGCGGAAGATGAATGCTGATTCTAGCGAGTGACGGCTTATGGGACGTGGTGTCGAATGAAACAGCATGCAGCGTGGCGCGCATGTGTTTGAAGGGTCGGACGCAGGCGGAGGGAGGAGTAGGGTCCTCGATGGAAGGAGGAGGAGGGATCTGGGACAAGGCGTGCAATGACGCCTCCATGTTGCTCACAAAGCTGGCCTTGGCAAGGCATACTACCGACAATGTTAGTGTTGTCGTGGTTGATTTAAGGACACCCACCTAGCCATTGGGAGTTTCAATATTTTCAATTCTTCTAAATATTTTCCTCAGATATGGAATACCTTTTTCATAAAAATCATGATTGGTTGTTTTTCCACTTGTCGGTTGATAATAGAAAACTTTGGGATTTCAGTCGCATAACACTTAAATTTAAGGGTCAACATCAATCCACGAGAATATTTGAGGCGATAAATTCTATTTTATAGCTTAAATTTTCTTTCAAATCTTTTTAATTAAATTAAATTTATAAGATTTAAATTAAATCTAATTATCCAAATTTTTGTTTAAATTTATTATAAATATTTATAATATCATAATATTATTTTAAGTTAATTTAAAATTTGTTATAATTATATATAATACATATAGTTATTTCCACACGTGTGATAAACATATATCTTACTGATATGAAGAATTCAACACAAACTAAAATTAAATCAATGAATTAGTTATTAATATCTTGAGTTATTTAAATTCTATTTTATAATTTAAGTAAATTTATAAAATTATAAGTAGAACCGAAAATTTTGACTTTTGAAGTAGGGTTAGAGTTTTGTTCGGCCTCACTTAAATGAAGGACGAAAAAACAAGGGAACCGAACATAGTTTGCTTTGTCACATTCATGCTAGGCGTCGATGAGGATTTCAGTGCTGACGGTAAACGGACAATTGACACCATTTTTTTTAAAGCAAACCACCAGAGAAGGGAATCTGGATGGCAATTGGCAATAGATTACAAGTCCGATAAAAAAGGGGGGAAGAAAAACCAAGGTCCCATAGGTCAATCATGTCTCGTCTTTTGATTTCATATGGTTATAAATAGTTTAAACAGATAAGCTGTGTACCCTTTGACATGGGAGAGGATATGGTCAGATCTTCAAGTTGCTCCAACACCAACACCACCTAATCCTTTGAGATTTCTTCTTAAATCACACGTGAGACTGCAACAAATGACAATATCAGCATAGACTAAATTATAAATTAGGTTCACAAGCCACAAACACAATGAAACGTTTGCAATCAATCTTTCAAACCACTCTGTGATTGGATTAGTTCAACACTGTAAAATGATTTATAGAAATGTAATTCATTATAAGGAAATCGTTTTCAATGAAACAATTGAAAACACACCCTAAATATTTCGTTTCCGGAATATGTTTTCAATGAAACAAGCTAAATATTTCATTTCCAAATCTGCTTTCTATGAAACAAACGAACCTAAATATTCCATGCTTATTAAAAACATGGATACGTATAGAATTCCATGAGAATTCCAAGAAAAAATAACATGCTATAAAACACAAGAAATTATAGCTAATAACAACAAATCAAAATACACAATAGCTATGTGCCTACTGACAAGTTCTATTTGAGTAGGAGTTGCATATATAATAGTAAATTACCTAAAGGAATATAGAATTCAGGTATATAAATATCACTTGCTATAACTAGAAGAGCTCCCACCATGTCAATAATTTAAAAAATGATTCTAAACCAATCAGCTATTAACAGTTCTCCTTAGATTTGTTGTTTAACTCCAACAGATTGGTTCTTACAAATTGGAGCAAAGAGACCAAAATTAAATAAAAATCATATGACATGCTACAAACGATGACAAGCAGCAAACACAAACATAAGAAAAACTTCTCGAACTCCAGAAATAGAAAATTATCTTCAAGGATTTGTATAACTGCCACAACACAGTAACCAGGTTTGTGTAATAAAAAAAATTAACTTACACCAGCTACTATTCATAGGAACGGAGACAGCGGTCATTATGTCCCTCAAATGAACCTGGACCTTTTATCTGCAGGCTTAAGAATTTGGAATGAACACATTAGGCTTTCATCAACACTCATCATTGCACCAGCATTATCAAATTCTCCGCAATAATTGGGAGCGGAAAATATAGTAACGAGCTGCCGTCAGCAAAGAACTCGTATCCATCTTCAACAACCTGAACGAAGCATTAGGATCAGCTACTTAGCTTACACTCAGAAGCACAAGAATGAAGTAAAGAGTAACACCTCAAACCTGATGAGCACGGCAAACAAGGTCCATATCATTTTTCATTAAGAAGTCGGAGACTCTATCTGCGCCGTATGTGAATGAGACTCCTCTATCATTCATACCCCAGCCTTTGATATCCCTACCAGGATCCGACCAAAGTAAATCACAAAGCAAACCAGAATCGGGAACATCAGTTGGTCGGGGTATACTCCTAATTTGATCCAAATTTGTTAGATCAGGAGAAAGACCACCATGCATGCAATATTTTGTCTTCTATTAGAGCAGCCACTGGAAGACAGTTGAAACATTCAGTAAATGTTTTCCAAACTCTCACATTGAACCTTTGTTGCATTCATCGTAAAATCCATAAATCCGATTAATAGAGGCACATTCATTGATTCCCTCTCAAAGAAAGAAGTTCTCAGGATATTTGATCTTATAGGCTAGCAAAAGGCATATTGTTTCTAGACTCTGCTTCCCACGATCAACAGTCCCCGAGGAATAAATAATTACCATTTGGAGGAAAACCCCCATATTCAAAAAGCCGCAGAAGATCAGCATACTGCCCATGAATCCCCTGAAAGAAGAAATTTGAAAAAAAAAACAGATAGTTATAATTTCTATGAATTAGGAAGACATAATTCCAGAAGTGATGTTCAAAGTAACATGTCAAATATTAATCTTCTGTTCTAGTTCTTTACCTCTAACATTTTGAAATTGATGCCACCTCCACATAAATTGAAAGTAAAGTTAGTTCAATAACAACTCTAAATTGGGAACTAATAGGCAATATTTCTTATACTTCTTCAGGCTACTTGGCCCTATCTCTTCATGATGGAATCACCAAGTAAAACCACAGTATTATTTCATCTGCTTTTGGTACTATCCTTCAAAAGTTACTATTGAAATAAAGGATGAGCTTGTTTTATATGTATTTATAGGGAATCTCCAACGGTATAAATAATTCTTTACCATTGAATTTAATAAACATCTTATTTAGCTTTCAATATATAAGAACTTTGAGTTTGGTCAATCAAGCCCCAACATTAACTTTCCTGTAGAAGCCATCAGAAAAAACCCATGAATATAACATAGAGAAATGAATTGCACTAGACTGAAACAGAAAAATCTAATGCTTGCAAGGGAAATATTCCTATATTACATAGACTTGCAATATCCAAAACTTAGAAATTGTAAAAGGAAAAGGTAATAAACAAAGATGTTTATTTCCATGTAGTTATTTTAACTCATTAAAGGGCATATATTAATGATCAATCCATTCTATTCTCCTAAAAAGGTCAACCTGATATCATCATTTTAATCATCTAATCAAATCAATAAAATCAGAAAAATATCATGTTTGTTGAAGAGTTCTTGCAACAATCTTCTCAAACCCTCCTAGATTCCAGCAATGATAACATAATTTTTACCTCATTTTCTTTTCTTATACATCATCATTGTCTAAGTCAAAGATAAACATCTATACATAATGCAATTCTTATGCTTTATTTATAGTGAACACTTCCTTAATGCTATGTCTCCTTACTAATCATGTGACTCTATCATTTATAGAGTTTTCTATTAGTCCATCTTGTAAAAAGCCACCAATAAATGGTTTCCTGCAATCTTTTAAGAATGCAACCAGCGCATTATCAAGTAAGATAAAGAAAAGCAGCAAACCCATTTTAAGCATCCTTTTCTAGATTGTAGCCCTAGCCATCCCCCTCAAGCATTAAAACGCTATGAAAATCCAAAAGAAGCAATTTATCAAGAGGGTTAAATTTTCACATGGACCATCAATATCATCTAATTCAGAAGATATGCATAGCAGAGTTAATCCATAGCTAATGAAGTACGTATTCAACCTCATTTGCAATCTATCCTAGACCACAATTTCAAAAAGGAATCAGGATAAGAAACCAATCATACCAAGAACAAAGGCATAACATCAATTTTAAATTAATGAAATTTAGGCAAAAACCTCAATGCACCAGCTCCTATGACTACAGACCTACATCATTAAAAAAATCAATAAACTTTTCCATTACCAAATCAATTCCTAAAAGCGGGGGGGATTCTTTCAACTTCCTTCATACAATCAAAATTCAAACACCCGAAGCAAAAAAACTAAATATCCAAAGACCTAAAACATGAATTTCGATCATCATTCAAACGGAAAAGAAAAAAATGTAAGAAAATCGTACCACAGATCTTGATGGGAGCTTCAACTTCAAGAAGATTAGGTTGTTGAAGAAAGATTTCTCTTGCAACGGTGCAGAGCTGACGGATCTCAGCTTCCATCAGCTGGACTTGCTTCCCTGGCCTCGCATGCTTAAACTCCAATAACGACATATGATATCATCCAAAAGTGCAGGGTCAATGGAAGCAGATCCCATGATATGAGCAATCTCTAACAAAGGAGTCCGTGCTTTTTCTCTTCTCGGATTGTTGAACTGAGTTCTCCTTCGGAAAAGAAAAGAAAGTGGCCGGACGTTTCTTTTCTTTCCTTTTAATTAATTAATATTTTCTTGGGTGGTATTTAAAAAGATTTTTAAAATAAAGACGGTGACAGCTATTCCGACAAACCTATTGATTTTAGTCACTTTCTTAGTAATTACGGTTAAATAAGCATGAAAAATCCAAATAATCTGTGACACTATGAATCAAATATTCGCCGGTCGATTAATCCGCTCTCTTCCCTTGTTTCTATATTAACACGTCATTTGTTTCTTGATATAAAATCAAGCCTTTAAATTATACTTAAAATCAATTTTAAATGTTTTTGTAGATCAATATTTCTAACGTAACAACAGCTCAAGTTTATATAATTTTAAAAAATTAAAAATATTTCCACTTCTATAAAAAGACAAAAAAAAATTAATATCACAAAAAATTCCTAAAGTTTTAAATTTCATTTTCAACTGTCATCCTCGATCATCGCCTCATCATTAATAACCATCTTTTATCACCGTTCGCCCACCGACAAATCATTACTCTTGTGATTATCTAAATCCCTAAACCGTTAAAGTTGCTAACATTTTCTTACAATGAAGACGAAGAAGGGGGATTTTCTCGGGTCTTGAAGAAGAAGGGTAGGATGGAGGCAAAGTTGATAATTGTGGGGTTATTTTGTTTGTTTTGTTGGCCGAGTATTTTCCTTTTCAAGCTGAGAATCTTATGGAAATGTATAGGAAAGTTTTCAACGTGGAGTATGAGTTTCCCCAAACGATGCGAGGAGATTAATGTCAAAGCTGCTCGTTCGGTCGTTCTTGAACACTTAAATAAGGATTGTGATTTTGGGGATCATTGCAAATCTATGGTTTCTATAGAGATTTTCAAGGCCAGTTCCAGTTCAAAGGTCAAATGCAAGGGAAAGTGGAAGGACGGAAAGGGAAATTAGTGGCG